GAAAATAAATCACTGCTAAATTCAGTCCAGTGAGCAGTGTAGAGCTAACAGTATGCTGTATAAAGGAAAGCTAACAGCCTCTTCTGTTTTAATGTGTACATTTGGGTACATCTGTAATGGCCCCCGAGTCAAAAGCATTGTGCACAACATACGTAGGTGCTGACTTGGCCTGCTATGCTCAAAAGTTTTAAGATCAGTTTGTCCATGTGGATTCTTGTTTTAATTTCAGCTTTCCTTATTCACATGAGTAATGTCAGGTGGATGAAGGTATCAACGTGGTTACACCGAAACATTTTTCAGTGTAAAAAAACCCAAGGAATTGGTGGATTTTAGTAAGACCGGGATGAAAACTTGGTTGAAACCAGTTTTGCTGTAATGCTCTTCAGGGACCACCGCATGTCTTCATAGCCCTTGGCTAATTCCCTCCATACTCTCCCATGCAGGGTCCAGGACAGGTTCCGCAAGGCTGTAGTGCCTTTCTTTTCATAGATCTGCACTGCAACGAGTTTCCACTTTGCTGTGTCACTTTGCAGAGATGCAGTCAAACAGGTTGTATTATTTTTACTTGGGAAGTCTCATTTAATAGTGGCAGGGCTGCTCGGTTACGACAAAAGGACTTAGTTTTGTATCGTTGCCCTATGATGGCACTATGGTGCTGTCCTCTAGGTACCATGAAATGTATGTATAACCTACGGCAATTATTTGACACAGTTATTCCTTGGCCCGTGATTACCACAAACAGCAAAGTTACTGTTGGCTACCTGTGCACAAGGTTGCACACTGCGAAATGGGCCACTCGGGCACCTGAAGAAAGGCCTTCGCCATAGCACCTGCTCTTGCTGCGATCCACCAGAGCCCAAACCCGATTTTCAGATCCTATCAAAGGCATCCCTGGTTGCTCGGATGTTTAGGCTTGAACCACATTTCACCTGAAGAGAGGTGGGCAGCGAGTTTTTTGGCCTATCCTGCTTTAAAGCCTTGTTTTTGATTGTGGCTGTCTTTGAGAGCAGAACTGCTGACCACTGTAAAATATATGTTTGTTGTTAGAAGTGTCCATAATTGCAGCGTTGCGTCATCTCCATGGTTATTTTAAAAATTCTGTTTGTGACTTTACATTATTAATAAGGTGACTACAGAATTGTCTAGAAAAAAATCCTTCTGTTGATCTTGATTGCGACTTTTATCATTTCCTGTCGTAATTGGACCAAGTCCTCAGCTGGAGCAAACTGATGTCACTTTTACTCTGTTAGTTCTCTTCATGTTATTGGCACTATTGTCACCAGCTGTCACGATAAGATATCCACAGTATGTCAGTAGGGAAGAATCTCTCTTTTGAAGGACAAACTAGATAAAATGACACAAGAAACGGAGAGTATATGCTGTGTGCTGGTTGGAAGCATGCTATAACGAGCTGGAAACTCAAGTCTGTGATCACAAATACGCCATATGAAGCATGGGTGAATTTAAATGGTTGCTAACTATAACTCTACAACTAAATTAGCACTGGAAGACAGATTATATGTGAATTTGTTAAAATGCAGATACACACATGCTACAGATTAGAACAGGAAAATTTTGTTTGATGCTTTCCTTCTACAGACTTCCAAGTGTGTCACCAAGGCTAGTATCCCTGTTGCCATTTTAAAAATAGGAAAAGAGAAACACAGAGGAGGAGAGTGCCAGGGTCCCTCAGCCACACAACGGCAGAGCCCCGAGAACTTAGGCCTCCTGAATCACCCTGCAGCATCAACAAGAGAATTTAAATAATTTGGGTACATTTGCAGAACATTCATAAAACAGATTACAGAGTAAAGGTGAAAGTAATGAAACCTGGTTTTGAAGAGATTTAGCTTGGTGTGCTATCAAAATCATGGGTTGGGAAATAGTTTGCAAGAATCTGTGGTATCCAGGGGAACTTATTTGTATGGACTAACACACGCAAATCCTATTAACAGAAGAGTTACTTAAGCACATCCTCCCAAATTGATATTAGACTTTGCTCGCTGCACGCGTTCAGCCGTGCAGTGGCAAGGCGAACCACATTACTGTCATTCTGAAGTCATATCCTAATCATAGAGCAAGTACATCAGTGCCACTCCAGAGCAGAGCAAAGCCCTCTAATAGAGAAAGCGGAATGAGGTCATGTGTGGCCCGCTGACTTTATTGCAAGTGGCAAGACAAAGGTGCCCCGCGTACTTCCGAGGTAATAACTTTAAGGATGCAATTGGCAGAGGAACATAATCAGTCTTTGAATGCTATAAAAGGTACTAACGTATTAGTTGCTGTTTGAATAGGATTCTGTAATACACACCGTGTCAAAGGACTGAGAATCTAGAGCTGCTGCTGCTGCTAATTAAAAAAGCTACAAGGGTACAATATCTTTGCCCGAATGTTAACCTGGATTGTTCTTGTGCACAGTAACCTTAAAACACGTCCTATAGGGTATAAGGTCCTTCACGTCACACGTCTCTCTCTCTTTCCTGTTTAGGGTAGGGCACGCAGGGCTGATCTGTTTCTGGGCACCAAATTTGACTGATGGCTTTATGGCACATAGGTTTTACCCTTTTTAACCAGAGCGAAATATTAGCCTTTATGTCTCTGAATGGCAACCTAGAGCACACCCCGACACAGAGATCTTAGGGAAAGGGAGAGAAATGTAGGAAACAGATGCTTTTTCTTTGTAGCCGTAGAAAGATGAGCTGTGTCAGATAGTCTAGGTTTCTGTACACGCTGATAGGCAAGAAGTGGAAGAACAAGGAGACAACCTGAGCAGGAGTGGTTACGTTACAATATTTCATGGTGTTTGAGGGCCTGAGTATTTTTATCCTTGAGACACCATGCGTGTCTTGTGTGCAAGTAAAATTCACCATTGCAGATTTCAAACCTGTGTGATTTTTACCGATGTAAAAATTACATTCCAAATGTAAATGTATAACCTGTTTAAATTTGAAGTTTTTGGTTATTCTTTAAATGAGTTTTATAGTTTGGATGCCATTCAACACTTGACTGTGTTCTGAAACCAACGATGAATTTGCCCTATCCATCTTAGCCTCATAATGGATAGATAGAACATATTAAGAGTTATCACCTCAAAGACAGATCAAAGTCTACTTCCTTTAATATTGACTTTCTTTAAAAGGACCTAAATATAACCCGCTAGCTAAATAATTCAATTTTGGGAGGGGGGCAGGAACTGAGCGCATGTTTATACAACAGACCACAATAACTCCGCAGTTTTATGATTTGTTGAAGAAGAAGAAATCCTTCTCACATCTTCTTTTTAAGGAAATGTTACTCTTAGACTAAATGAGCCCAAACCTGTCAGCCATCCAAATGGACTCTTCACTGACATAAGTGGCAAACACTTGCATGGATCACTGACGAACAGCTAGGCTCAAGGAATAGAAACAATGAGCTAATCTGAATAAATGGTCCATTTTCAGATGTTTCACAATGTCGTGCAGGGTGTTTTTTACATTCCCTACTTGACTCACTCTGTTTGATTATCAAAGGCGTTGAGAGATCGGTAACTCACACGGGGCTTTCAAATTTAGTCGTCTTGTTCTCTTTCTGTTCTTTCCTTAAATATCTCTAAGTTTTGGAAAATACATATGTCAGTGCGCACACATGTGATAAAATATATGTTCGGTTAATGCCAGGCGTTCTCGGGAGTTCCAGAAGCAGAGTGGCAATGCTGTATCTCTGCATTTCATGAGAATGCGAGGAATGAGGTACTAGGGCCATATCCTGCCATTTGTCCATATACGACTAGCCGGTGACTGGAGCCAGTCCAGTCCAGAGGGTTTCCTAATAAGCTAGAAGCCAGGCACAACTGCTGTACAACTGCTCAGGGCTCTTCTAGCTTCTGTCCTCGGTCACTTCTTCCGTTCTCATGAAACATCCGTGGTTTATAGCACGCTAAGCATTGTTTGACTGATTTTCTGGGTTTTTGCACCTACATTTTAGATGGGGAGGGGGCAGAAAGACCTCAAGGGTGGAAACCACAGATCCCAGCTTCAACTTCTGGATGTGGAATGTCATTCCACAAGCTGTGAGCGATTAGCTTTCAGTGATGGCTCTAAAGATGGCTATACCTGTATTTGGAAAAGACTTTTCCTCGCTCTTTGTATTTTAAGTGCTGTGGAATCAATGAACAGTGAGTAAGCTCCACTGCTATGTGTTTTGCAGTACAGGGGTATGAGTGTTTTAACCTCAGCTCTGTTTCCTCAGGTATTTGTGTTTGTCATTATTACTGCTGTTTTAGTTAAGAATTTTGAAGTATTTTGTACTGTTGCAACAACTGAAAAAAAATGGAAACTGGAAGTGGGATCTTCTGCCTGTTGATTGGAACAGGTTTTGTAAATGCCCGGACACCTCACACCGGAACACACCCGTTCCTTCTGCTGGGAGAGAGGGCACTAGATATAGTTGCTATAGAATAACTATTTTGTGTGGTAGAAATCTCTTATAATGAGACTGATTGCCGGACCTTAGTCCAAACAGGTAGAAACATCAGGCCAGTATCACTGGTGAGGTGCCTGCACCCCAGAAGTGTAATTCTAACCCTGCTCAGCATTCAGTCTCCGACAACCACCTTTAACCAGAACCAAACACCTTTTTCTCATCCTTAAGTAGACAAATAAGGCTGCTGTCCTGTGCGCACAAATGGAAAATCTTTCAGAAAGGATTTGTGAGAGCAGGACAGCGAAATACTGTGGTGGAAGCTAACGCATGTAGAATTGCTTTCCTGAACCACAGCAAGGGCCGCGGCAGGTACCCTGCTAGGAGGAAGCAGAGATGACCGTCACGTTGGTAACGACAGCCACAGCATCCCTGTGAACACACTCAAGGGGACGGTCCTGCCCTGGCTGGCACAAGCTGTGTGAGCTAGCTGGTCTTTCCTAACGCCGACAGCTGTGCCCCGTGACACTCCCCGTGTGCCCCCCTTTTGGTGTCATGCGGGTGGGAGCCGGTCAGTAGCGAGCAGAGAGGCAACATACCCACTTTCAGCTCCTTCCCGAAGACGGTCCTCTCTCCCAGGGCAGAGCAGTTCCAGCGCCCGTTGCGAAACTGGAACTGGCACTCGTTGATGCCCATCTGGGACCCTTCCCCGATGACGATAATAGCGTCGGGCCTGCTCTGGCAGATCGCCCGCTGCCGGGGGGCAAGACCTGGGATCTTGTTACAGATGATGCTGGCTCCCAGGGCCACCACAGAGGAAAAGCCCCTGCAACGACAAGACACCAGGGGCGGCTGAGGGGAGGCTCATCCCGGAGGCGGACGCAGCACCCCGCCGCCTTCCCGCGCTGCAGGACCCGGCTTTGGCAGGTGCCCCCGGAAAGCACCCGCCTTTTCCCCCTGTCGCTTCCCTCTCCCTCTCTCCACAGCCAAAGCAGAGATAAGGAGCACGTGGGCTCCTGCCAAAACGGGACCCAACTTCCTCATTCGTAAATTAAAGCGCATACAGCGGCGTTGCGTGCCCGGGCCACGCACGGTCAACGGGCTGGGAGGGTTTTCCCTCTCCTGTTGAA